AAAAAAAAAAAAAAAAAAAAGTTGCTAAACCATTTGGCGCAAGTACTGAAAATGTTCAGGGTCTAAAAGAGAGTAACTATTGTGAGAATAACTTAAATAAAAAATAATCTGCATGTCCCAACCTCTTTTCCTTATCTCATCCTTTTGGACTTTCACGGTATTTCTGGTCCCAGTTTACGTTGGCCCCAGGCTAAAATGTAGTCAGACCATGCAGCCATTGTTGACAGCATCAGCATCCAGGATGCCTGAGTGCCCTTTGGTGGTGTTAAGCATTTGACCAACAACACAGGGGATGGGTGTGAAATAAAAATGTTTTATATAATATATACACACACACACACACACACAGACACACGGCAATCCAAGTAGTAAACTTAAGAAGGAAGAATGTGGAATGTGGAGGGACAAAATTCCAAACGAATGGAGGTTGTTTTTTTTTTTGTTTTTTTTTTTTGGTGTTTGTTGTTTTGTTTTATTTACGATAATTCCCCTTCTGACCAAGTACAATTTTAGTACTTGCACAAATACTGGTGGAAGTGATATTAAAATTTAAGCCAGTAGATATGAAATCTTTTTGTAATTGCAAGGGAATATCATCTACAAATGCCCCAACTCCAGCCTCAGCCTCTCACCTCATCCTCCCACCCTATGATTACCAGACCACCACATCCCATCCCACTTCCCTGAGGCCATTGATAATGTCTGCTATTTCCTTGCCAACCTCCAAAATTAGCTATCTCTCCCTAGCCACAAGCCCCTAGCTTCTACCCCTTCTAACCTCATCTATTGGCCCTCTTGGCCACGTATTTCAAGGTAGCCTTGGTGCCAGGTTAAGAGGAGGACAGGCCGGCCGGCGCGGCGGCTCACACCTGTAATCCCAGCACTTTGGGAGGCCAAGGAGGGTGGATCATGAGGTCAGGAGATCGAGACCATCCTGGCTAACACGGTGAAACCCCATCTCTACTAAAAAATACACACACACACACAAAAAAGAAAAAAAAAAAAAGCTAGCCGGGCGAGGTGGTGGGCGCCTGTAGTCCCAGCTACTCTGGAGGCTGAGGCAGGAGAATGGCTTGAACCCAGGAGGTGGAGCTTGCAGTGAGCCGAGATCGTGCCACTGCACTCCAGCCTGGGCCACAGAGCAAGACTCCGTCTCACAAAAAAAAAAAAAAAAAGAGAATAGACCATAGAACAATTGAGGCAGGCAGTGCTAAGGTTACTTGGGCATTATTTCAGACTACCAATGCCTGTTCTCCCCATTTAACTAATAGGGTACTGGTTGGGTGTGAGACAATATGCTTTGTAGAAAGAAAATCAGGAAGGAAGGGGCGGCATAGGAACAAGCTCCCAAAAATAGGAATTATTCTGTTTTTAGTTGCAAGTGTATCTCAAAAAATTGCCAGACTAACTCAGTTTCTGTAATACACTTACAGTCATTACTCTTTGCCAGATCATGGATATTTACAATACAGCGGGACTTGCATGACTTGCCCAAAGTTATTCAGAACCTTTGTAAGTGGTAGAAGTGGAATTAATATTTAAGTCAATAAGTATGGAGAACTTTGTTGGCTAATCTATGTTTCAGGACAATATAGCATACAACTCTATGAAAATAACCAGGAAATATTAAGGAAATAATTTCACAGAAAAATGGTCAGAATTGACTCAAAACAAGTGGGGAATTTCATTAAAACGAAATTTTGAAAGGAAAAATTTAAAATACATATTAAAAGCTGGCTGGGTGCGGTGGCTCACACCTGTAATCCTAGCACTTTGGGAGACCAAGGTGGGCAGATTGCCTGAACTCAGGAGTCCAAGACCGCAACATGGCGAAACCCTGTCTCTACTAAAAATACAAAAATTTTTCTGGCGTGGTGTCGTGTGCCTGTAGTCCCAGCTACTTGAGAGGCTGAGGGATGAGAATCTCTTGAATCCTGGAGGAGGAGATTGCAGTGAGCTGAGATCACACCACTACACTCCAGCCTGGGTGACAGAGCAAGAATCCATCTCCACAGAAATAAATAAATACAGGCATACATACATATAAAAAGCAAGATGCAGACAGTTTGTATGATATGCTATCAACTGGGTAAAAATGTAAGGGCAATGGATAGATATCCATACATTGTACTTGAATATTCACAGACTGTGTCCAGAAGGCTACACAAAAAGCTGGTAACTGGTTGCCTGTGGGGAGAGAAACTGGCAATAGGGGTGGATTGACTTGCAAGTGAAGACTATTCATTGTATGTGAAGCAGTTTGAAATTTTAAACGTATACATGTATTAGTTTTTTAAAAGTTGCCAAATATCTCCCCTCTTCTCGCACCCTCAAAGTGCTGGACCCAGATGGTTTCATAGGCTATTCATTCAAGCCTTCACAGAGCAGATAATTCCTACACTGTATAAATTATTCAAGAGAGAAGAAAAGGCAAAGTTTACAAATTTATTCTAGGGACCTAGCATAAACACGGTACCACATCTGAAAAAGATAGTACTAAAAAGAAAACTATATATCATCTTGCTTGTAAATATATATCTACAGGCCAGGCATGGTTAGATTAAAGCTCACACCTGTAATCCCAGCACTTTGGGAATCCAAGAGAGGGGTATCACTTGCGCCCAAGAGTTCGAGATTAGCCTGGGCAACACAGGGAGACCCTGTCTCTACAAAAAAGTAAAAATAAAAACTTGCTGAGAGGCTGGGCACGGTGGCTCACGTCTGTAATCTCAGCACTTTGGGAGGCTGAGGCACGCGAATTGCCTGAGCTCAGGAGTACAAGACCAGCCTGGGCAACATGGTGAAACCCCGTCTCTACTCAAATACCAAAAAAATTTAAAAAAATAAAAATTAGCTGGGCATGGTGGGGTGCACCTGTAGTCCCAGCTACTCGGGAGGCTGAGGCAGGAGAATTGCTTGAACCCAGGAGGCGGAGGTTGCAGTGACCCGAGATCATGCCACTGCACTCCAGCCTGGTGACAGAGCAAGAATCCATCTCTAAAAAAAAAAAAAAAAAAAAGTTGCTAAACCATTTGGCGCAAGTACTGAAAATGTTCAGGGTCTAAAAGAGAGTAACTATTGTGAGAATAACTTAAATAAAAAATAATCTGCATGTCCCAACCTCTTTTCCTTATCTCATCCTTTTGGACTTTCACGGTATTTCTGGTCCCAGTTTACGTTGGCCCCAGGCTAAAATGTAGTCAGACCATGCAGCCATTGTTGACAGCATCAGCATCCAGGATGCCTGAGTGCCCTTTGGTGGTGTTAAGCATTTGACCAACAACACAGGGGATGGGTGTGAAATAAAAATGTTTTATATAATATATACACACACACACACACACACACA